AGCTGAGTTCATTGACCTTTTGCAGGCTGTATTTTTCAGGATTGGTAGCCAGGTTTTGTTGATTTTTAGAGTAAAACCCCCAACCCTTCAGGCACCCTCGCTGATCTCTGTAAATACCCACAAAAGGGTCACATCATCCTGGGCACAGAGAGAACTTCTCCTGTCTGGGCTCCTGCCCTCTGAAGATGAAAACTTCCAGAACATGGCCACACAGCCCGGAAGACCCACACCAGCCATTTAGACTTCACCTTTGCCTACGGCTATCAGATGTGGGTTGCAAACGTCAGGGTGAACACTAGATGGCAGCAAAGAGCTGCATGTTAATTTTTATTGCCATCTCATAGTTGTCTGGATTTTTTTTTGTGCATGAATTTACAGTCAATCACCTTAATCTTTTACAAATTAACTGTTCGCTGCTCTTGATTTCTGCACAGTGCAATCTTTGAATCAAAAGTATATTAATGTACTGTGTTTGATATTGGTCCATGAGTAAGCCAGGCTTGGACACACAAAATGTAATTATTAAATTCACTGATGTATTTATTTCTTGCCCAGTTCTAATCCGAATGAAATTATACAATTTTATTCAAGGTTAGGGATAATAACTCATTATTTTATTTTAGATGCCAAATTTCATTTTTAATTGAATATTTAAAAAAGAAGAAAAAAAGAAACAGAAAAAAATATAAAAATAGAATCAAGTGAATAACAACTCATTATTTTAGAAGGCAATGTTATCACAAATTTTAAAAAAAGATTTATTACTTTGGTTGTAGCTTCGACTGGGCTATAGCACAATTTCATAGAAGTACCTATATCAACAAATGATATGCTTTCATATGGTCCTTAGAAGTAGTGTTCAAAACATTGTTTTACATTGTTTATTAAAAGTCCAATTGTTTTGGTACATGGATTTTTGAATTAAGTACCAATTATTAGTCATTCTATTTGCATTATAAGAATAATGTTAATAAATCACCTTGGATAAAGTAACATACAGACTTCACTGGATTAATGTAGGATTAGATGTATAGTGACCTTCTTGATCCCTTGATTTTGTATGGATTTATCATTTGGTGTGAGAGAAATACAGCTATTTGATAATTTACTTATGATAATTATATCAATGGCCAGATACAGTAAAATTATTCTTAACTCTCCATGGGATAAGCCCTTTTAATTGTAGATCTTACATTTATTAGTACTTAGTTCTACAAAAACAAATCTTTGAACACATTAAGTGCTTAAATATTTGTTAAAAGTTCTAAAAGCAAAGAAACAGTATTTGGAGGAAAACAAAAACACAAAGCATTTCCTCAGATATATATATATCAATAACCTAATATGAGTTTGCAAAGCAAGGCCCTTAACCTTCTCTAGTTATCTTTAGAAGAATTTCTGAGTTACAGAAATACGTATTTGTTCACCTTTTCCCATAGTATCTTAATTCACATAATCCCTCAATGATCTTTGATTCATGGAAGTTGTTCAACACATGTAGAGGGTGTCAGTTGGGGAAAGCTATATTAGTTGAAACAATATACAGCACTTCTAGTTAAGAAGTGATCATGTACTTTTTCTAGATTCATACCAATATTTATTTTTGAAATAAATATCCATTCCATGAATAATCTTTGAGTAAATCGATGCTGATTTAAGTTTTGATCGATGGGATGCTGCAAGACCGTCTCATAACCAATCTCACTTCAATATCAGGCAGACTTTTCTGTTTAATATGTAAACAGTCTTCATCTGTGGCTGCCAGGTGAAGATCAAAGCGCAGAGAAACAGATTTTTTTCTTAAGTGAGGGTTATCCTTGAAGAAAGAACCTTCCCATTCTTTAATCACTTCATCTACTTTTTCTGTCCTGAAACAATAAATTAGATTATTATGTGTAGGTATTCATGCAAAACATATCTTCAGGCTAGGATTTCATTAAATTATAAAAGACATGTTTATACCCAGAGATGTTTATTTTGGTGAAACAAAGACTGTGTATGAACATCTGTTCTGTATTTGTCTGTCCACCCATCAATATATATGTTATTTCTAGCGAAAATGTTTGAAAGCTTTCCGCTTTATTTTCTTGTAGTAAGACATGTATTCCTAGGCAATAGACTGACAAAATATAATCTTTCCATTGTTCTCCTTAGTAAGATATATAGCCTATACATTGTGAGAATTTTTTTCCCAGTAAACAGACACTTTTATCAAATGTTTCTTAAGGAGACAAGTAATTTGACATAGTTGTGAGTGTTCTTTTTATTTAGAATGAAAGCAATCTAGGGAATTCTTTAAGGGAACTGTTGGATTTGCTACCAACTCTAAACTTTTCCTGATCTGGAAATTCTTTTGTTTCTTCCATTCTTCCTCTTCTTTCCTTGAGGTTATTAAGCACATGGGGATGGTATAGAAAAACACAGTTACTTCTCTTTTTAACATTTGAACAAAGAATCAAATTATGTCTTATTATATAACTTTAAAAGGTTATAAATAGATTCCATTGAGATTACCATTAAGGTTAACTTCTTTATAATATTCTCTTAGCTCTCAGAGCAAGGTAATTTACATTATATAAAGCAGCATTTCTCAACCTTATCAACTTCAAGATGTGTGGACTTCAACTCCCAGAATTCCTCAGCCAGCCAATATTTTTTATTTGGTGAAATATATGGTTGGTCAGATAAGAGGCTGACTTTAAATAACCCTACTATGACACAAGGGGATGTGGCCTTACTATTATCATTAAGGATAACTCTGGTGCATTTTCTGTTCATTGCATTAAATGGATTCTGTTTCTTGTTGATTAGTAATACATAATAAAGTTATTGGGAATTAAAATATTCTAGGCTGCACCTAATTTTGGTCATATGTATATGAATTATGTATGATACACACACATACACACACCCATTTAACTTACTGTATTGTACCATGAGCTTCTGTGCTATCCTTGGCAACACCTCCATTTAAGACCACTTGCTTTGTCAGTATTTCTACTTTTTCAATTTTGTGTTTTTTTAGCTTGCTTGCTATGTGGAGGAAAAAAAATTCAAAACATGTTAAAATATTCAATATTATCAGATGCAGCAGCAATATTCTGTACTTCAAAATGTGCATCATGTTTATTTTCGGTGCCTTTTAATTCATTTACCCAGGAAACCACATTTTTGAACATAAAGGCTGTATCTGTCCCACAAGGACCCATGTATGCCATTCAGTTACTTAGCCAATATGTTAATATGACTTGTTTGATCTGAGTGGAATTGTGCAATTATACTGTAGTGTTTTATAAGTATTATTAATGTTGAGTTATCTCTACCTCACTCTTCTTCTTCTCACCTCCACTTCTAGTGGTACATTCCTCTGCTCCAGTTCTTGGCCCACCAGCTTCTTCTGGTTTTTTTTAAAGAAATATATATATAAGAGGTATAGCACAGTGACTTAATATGATAATCCCATTTATGGCAGTGCACGTATACTTATTTATTAAATACAATAAAGATTTTTCACTTTTTCTTCACTAAAAAAAAGTCATTATTGCCTCCATGAAGAAATTTAGCATCGGAGAGGGAAAGGACCTAGACTAGCTCTCTTTTTAGTTTCATTTCTCTACTGGCAGGAAGATTTTTCTAGCATTAGAGAATAGCGTTGTGTTGTTATACACCACCCAGAGTCGCCTGTGGTGAGATGGGTGGCTATATAAATTGATTTAATAAACAAAATAAATACATGTTAAAAAACCAGAATCTCTCGTAGCTTGAAGTGGCTCAGCCCACTCTGACAATACAGAGTGTCCTTTGTATGTAGAAGTCCTAAAGGAGGTAATATTTCCAGTTGCATTTAACTACTCAAGAAAATACAGTCTGTTTCACCACAATCTGTCTGTACTGTGGCTTCCTGACCTGTATATAGGTTTTGCACAAGCAGCTTACTGCATTGTCCCTAAGTCTGGCACCTAAATCTGATTAGCCAAGCGGTCAACCCAGCAACCCCATCGTTATGTGAAAGAGCTGATAACTAAGACTTGTAGCGGCTTTTGAGAGGGAAAGAGGGTGTGGCCTTTGGATTTAAATTCATTTACAGAGAGAGTATTCACCATTATCTGTATTTGTTCTTAGGTTGCTTTCAGAATTCCAGAAAGTAGAAATACCTCACTTTGCCAGTGCAGTTACATAACAAATATTTGTCTGTAAAAATATAGAGGCGTGGAGAGAGGAATTTAAGGAGGGGCAATGCCCTTTCCCCCAGCTATGGGTCTATGGGAAATTATTAGTTCAATTTGGATATGGAAGTCTGAACATCATTGTCCAAAACATTTTGTATTTTCTTCTTGCAAAAACTTAAAACTTGGGTGGTGGTTTCCTGATATTTTAAAAAGGATGATGAATATTTTAAAAGTGTGAGAGCCCCATTTTAAGTCAACTTTTGATAAAATAGTGGACTCTTTTATTTTCTAGTGTTAAGTAAACTCACATGAAGGTAAAATAAATGCTATTCGGCTGGTGGTAGGTTTTCTAACATCTTTTCTTTCTTGGTGTTTTGAACAATGAAACCTAGAAAGAAAGAAAAAGTGACAAGGTGAAATAGGGGTGTTATATCTTCTGAGTACAATCTTGGTGAACTTTGTGGGTTGTGCCAGAGTGCCTATTACTGCTCATTGATGTTCTTGCTGAGCATGTTGCTTTACAGTGCAATGACTTTTTGTCCTTCATTGTACTGTGTAGACTGCATTCTAGCATCATCAGTGCAGGATTTTATTAGTTTCTTTTCTAGTTATGCTGCAAGTTTGGGGATGCTGCTGGGACACTCTCAAAGCCTACAGGTTGTTAGGGTTATTCACATGTATTACACTGAGTACTATTACCAGGTGGAAAGGAATCAGGTAGAGAAAAGAGACTGGCAGAAAGGTAGAGAAAGGAAAGGATGATATGATATTACACACCTCGGACTTCAGATCTGCCCATCATTGAGTAGGCTCTCCGGTTGATTTTTCCTATGGGGCTATGGCCCTTTACAGAAAACCAGTTCCTCACCCCTGCAAAGGCCCAGTTCAGACATAATTTTTCTTACTTAACCATTTATGTGGAAGTTTACATATACAGTAGTTTAATTAGCCATAGTTTCCTGAGGTTTGAACTGGGAAGCTAGTTTCAGAACCTGATTTGTTCCAATCCTGATAATAGCTTTCTGGTTCTTCTGTTGTGGCACATGGAGGAAAGAACAAATTTTGTAGGCACAAAACTCAATGTAATTGTGTAATACGCTAAGCTATGTTATATCTGAACTTGATTTCATAGTCTCAATAAACTATGGTTTGTTATGAGACTGAGCCTCCATGAACCTATCTCTTGCACCCACTTTTTTCCATGTATAAGAGAAGATTATCCATTTCGGCTGAAATGTACTATAGATTCTAAAAGTGATTGTTCTTGGTTTGCTTTATGAACAATTTCTTAAGTTCCAAAGTAATGAGCAATGGTTATGGTTAGTACAAAGATGAAAGCAATAACTTTATGAACTCTTCCTTTTGCACACAATGAAAAAGAGGAGGAAGTGCATGAGTTGGAAGTTCACGCAGACTTTTTCTTTTAACAACCAATTATGTTTTTTCATTACTTCTCTGGAAGAGAAACCATGCCATGTTGAAAGAACATGTTATGGTATGTTGTTTTGCGTAAAGTATTTCAATCTTTAAAATGTGGTTCTACTTTATTGTCTCATAAAGTAACAGAAAACAAAAATAAGAGGGAAAACAACAATTTGCTTTTGTTTTTTAACCTCAAAAACACGTTTATATACTGATTATAGCATATAATCTAAATCTAAACACAAGCCTCCCCAGTCCCCAATCAACTGTCTTCTAATTGTCTAACTGTTCTCCTTCTCCCCAACCATGGGTATCGTTGGGGGGCATCTGATGTTGCCATCATGCAAATTATGTAAATTAATAATTCACAGGATATGTATGATGATATTGCGACACATCTGATGTCATTACAGCTTATACCAGATGCTGATGTCCAACATTTTATTTCTTTATTAATCAAATTTATATAGCTGCTTATCTCAGTATCTGATTCTGGGCGGCTATATAAATTTGATTAATAAATAAATGTTAATAAATAAACATTTCAAGTCATCTCTTCCACCTCAGCATTCACTGTTCTCAGAAATTCTCCTGTTCCAGTCCAGACTTTCCTCAATTCATTATCAAGCAATGAGTGAGTACTGCTTGTTTCACTGATCTGATTCACATACAACAGAGAAGCACAATGCAGTTGGCTTGGTTTTGGCTTGGTGTGATAGGTGAACTTCCTCATTCTGGCTTAGTCTTATGTATGAACCCAAACCATAGTAGTCTGTGCTACACACAACCAATCCAAAGAATCCTGGTGTAGTACACATCCTTGCAGTCATGTTGCAATTAATGCCACATGCTTAACAATCCTAATCACTTTCAGAACTTTGATTTACATAGAGGTACCTTTTCTCTTCCTTCTCCAGCAGACTGCGGTATGTAGCTATTTCCTGCTCAAGTCTCATCTTGGAATTCAATAATATTTCATGTTGCTGGAGCTGTTTTTCAATGTCCTGCCGCACTTCTTGGAGTTCCTTCTCCAGGCCTTCAATCTCTGTTTCCAAGTGCTTGAGCTGTGTCTGGTATCGCAGTTCTGTGGCCTGCAGGGAACTTTCCAGTCCCCTCTCCTATTACATTAAGTTACTGATTAAAATGACAAGGTGTACTTCCAAACAAACCAAGACCATTTTGAAACAATCAGTGATAGCTTATTTTCAGAAAAATCCAAATCTTGAATTGATTTTAAAAATAAAGTTTTTATTAAGTATAATAAAATCTATGTTTAAACAGTCTGTTCTCTTATAAACAATATAAAACATAATTACAGTTGATCGGGGTTTATGGATAGGCTTATATCAGAGTTAACCATTTAATTCCTGGATGTGACCCCCATGAGATCAGATAGGCAAAAGGAAGGTAGGGGACTTATACAAGTGACCTGAGGAGAATTTTTTAAAATTTATTTTCTCCAACTTCCTGACTACATCTTGAATAGTGTAGTTCTGGTAAAAGTCAGTCAATTATTGTTGTTTTTTTAGATTGTGATAGTCCTACGAAATGCTGGTTAAAAAAGGATACAGATATATGTTTTATATTTATTAAAATTATTTTTATTGTATGATTTTGATCTCAAGTGTTCCCAGAGTGGTTTTCATTTGCATAAAGTCCCTAAAAAGGTTCAAAATGTGAGCAGATTTAGATATTATTAAAAATGCTTTTACAAAAAAAGCCCAGTAAATTAACAGGTGCAATAAATCAGAACTTTGAAGAGAGGGTATCCCACAGCTATGAATGTTCATAAATAAACATGAGAGATGAGCCTGCAGTCTTTAGCAAGAAAACAGTAGTAACCCTATTAACAATTCTGAAGTTTAATGCAGTTGGGTATCATACAGAATTAGGGAGGCCTATATAGAAATATGTAATTGTGTGTAGCAAATAGAAAGCTGACAAAGGATGACCTGGCTGGAAAATATGGGCTATGTGAACAAGATGGATGTGTACTGTGGGGTCTCTTTTCTGTGTCTTTAGACACTGTGAAATCAGCGGGACAATTTGGAAAGGAGCAGTAGTGGGGTCAGTTGTCTAGACATAGGGTGCAGCAGGGAACCCCCAACATAAATCTGGTCTATTCGGTGTCAGGCTGTATTGGTGTGCTGGTCTGGCAGGGCCTTTGGCTTTAGTTTAGGAGTAGTACAGGGTGTTGAAATTCTCCTTCCAAAGCAGCTGTTCATGGTAAGGAAGAGCTTCTGAAATATACCATTAATTAATTCCTTAACTTTGTTAAAATAAAATGGCTTAGTTCTTGCAGAGTGGGTATATTACTTCAGGTTGCCCCCTATTATAAACCACAGAACAAAACATAGTCAACTCTTCAGATAAATTTTCTACATTATAAAACAGCATAAAGGGATACTTTTTAGCCTCTTTTTCTGCCATGTTTATTTTTCTACTGATAAGATTTTTTTTAATGAAGAAATATTTTATGGAGAAATATATTTTGTGAGCTCTCACCTGCAATATAAAATAATAGCCTAAGCATAGATTTACATCTCAGTATTAGTTAGGCTACTATCTGTTTTCTCAAGAACTCTCCTGAAATAGCTACATTTTTAATAATTTCTTCCCTCTTGAGACCTATTCATGAATTAATTTAAACTTCCCCAGAACAACTTTAATATGGAAGGACATTTTTGTCTCTCTTATTAAAGCCCCAAAGCAGCTATAGTCAGTGCATTGTTCTTGTGTTAGAAGTGATAATAAAGATGTTTTAGACCTGTGAGCTAACAAAAAAAGAAATGTTTTCTTTTTGAAAAGAGTTTTAGAGTAGGTGCTTACTCATACTTACTGTGGCATGAAGAGAGTCTATTTCAGTCTGCATATGATGCCACTGACGTCTAGCTTCATTTAGTTCTGCCCTGGCTGCTTTTAAGATTTCTTCATCTTTGTTCATTCTTTCACCTGTGACTTTTTCTAGCTGCAGGGAACATTCATAATGTTAGGTCACCACTGCCAGGAACAGTGACACTTTAAACTTACTTCTGTGAGTGAAACACCACGTTTCTGAAACATCATTCAGTTCTTCCCCTTGTAATGTTGCCTGGCCTTGCAACTGAAGCAAAGCAAATCTTGAATTTCAATCCCAGTACAGTGGTTATGAAAACAGTAATGTAAACTATTTCTAAATGCTAATAATGATTCTAGTAAAATAATTTCTAAAATGTGGCAGAGTATTCTAAAAGTTGTAGTTCAACACATGTGGATGGCACCAAGTGGGGAGGATTTCTGCAGGATATGGTACTGGGCATGATATCCTAATGTTATAGTTGAACTACTTGTGGTTCCCCTGTGTCTGCCTTAAAATGTATCCCAAAACTTCAGCTTATTCTGATACTAGCAGCCTGACTGTTGACCGGAGGTTTAAAATCTAGCATCGCGGGTACTGGAATATTAGTTCCTTCCCAAGTGGCACTCACAAATCCCCCAAAGTTACAATCATTTTTAAAAATATAAAATGGCAGAAGTATTGCCAGCTTGCTAAATCTGAGATTTCAGTAACCTTATATAGGGTCTCCCAAATTTGGACAGGAAGAGAGGTGTATTAGTTTATAATAGCCCAAGACGTTTGGTAGCATCTTTTCAGAGATATTGTAAAATCATAGTTGAGATCATTGAAATCTTGAGAGATAGATGTTTTAAGGTGATTTTTTAAAATTTTGTGCCATTGTGGTAGATTGACAGCATCCATAACCTGAAAAGGTTGTAAATCCCTGGTCCAGTGACACATCTGGAGATTTCTAGAAATTAAGTTTGGGGGCGGGGAGAGATAAAAATCCATATCAAATGTAAGTCCATATGAAACATGAGCCCTGTTGAATCATTCCCTGCCCCAAGGATTAGAATGGAAATGGGTCTTTTGTGCCCACAAGGACAAGGCTGTGCTAGTTGTGTAGTATGATTTAAAACTTTGAAAGATTAAGGTTCCTGCTTTTCTGAGGAATCTATATAAGTAATGTTGGCTTCTAAGATGTGGATGTGTGCAAGACCATGAGCCTGTGTCAGTGGGCTTTTTCTCACTATTTTCATGCTATAGGACAGTGTTTCTCAACCTCAGCAAATTGAAGATGTGTGGACTTCAACTCCCAGAATTCCCCAGCCAGTATGGCTGGCTGGCGATTTCTGGGAGTTGAAATCCATACAACTTCAAGTTACTGAGGTTGAGAAACACTGCTATAGAATGAAGATAGAGAAACTGATTAAGAGGTTTTTTTAAAATGCTGGATGAAGGCATTTAAATGCTGGATGAAGGAATTTAGATTCTGAAATTCAGGTTTTGAGTAAGATTGGTGAGAAAAGCAGGAAACCAAATAAAAGTAATTTAATTCCCAGATGCAGCCACATTGGGTGATGAGACAGTATTCTTGTCAAAGAGTAGATTATTGATTACTTGAAAATGAGGCAAAGCAAGAAATGAAATGCTTAGCTGTTTGGAATAGTTCCTCTATGACATTTAGAAAATATTAATGGATGCCAAGAAGTTAATGTATTGGCTAGAAAGGGCCTAGCATATGCAGCATTTCAGTCTAAAGCTCCCATCATATGTAAGCATTTGTATCCAAAACATCTGGAGGGTACCACATTAGGGAAGATTACTGCCAAACATGTTATGATATATAAAAATAGATACTTTTATGAAGTGTGGTATAGTGTTATGGCAGGGGTCCCCAAATGTTTAGGCCAGTGGATACATTTGGAATTTCAAGAACATTATGGATACTCTCAAAATGGCTACCTTGGTGGGCATGGCCTGGTAGAAGACATTCATTTACCAGAAAGTAAATGGATAAGATTGTTCCCCATAATCCCCTCTAATCTTTTGGATGCTTTCTATTTCTCAATTTATCTTTGTCTTTTCTGCTGGGCAGACATGTATGATTCAACCCAGAGTGCTGGGCTACAGCTTCTTATCATTTTTATTTTCTAAGAAAGCCTCTGGGATTATATGTGAGGCCCAGAAGCATTTTTGGCAATTAAGATTATTGTCGAGGCTGATATTTGTTTTACAGCATAGTGCTCCTGCTTTCTTTTTTTTAAAATAAATAAAAAAACCCTTTAAAAAATAAAGTGGGTAATGTGGCCTGGTAAATGGATGGGTAATATGGCCTGGTTTCAGGCTCTTTGGTAGCTGTCTGAACTGGAAGAGATTATTTCCCAAGCACAATGTTCACAGAGTTCTCTTTAGCAAGATTTATTGAGATGAAATGGGTAAGGCTGCAAGAATTTCAGCAAGTGAACTATTTTCAGTTTAAAATCAATGTATCTCTTCTTGCATTATGGCAAAGACTTTTTGATCCTGTTTCTCCTAAACTAGTTATGAGGTGGGTCTCCTTCACTTAAAGTGGGGAAATTTGCAGCTAGCTAGTAACTATATAATAGTTGCTTGAATCTTGATTAGTCTGGGAACCAGTTCCTAACCTCTGGTGGGCATTGATGGAATTATCTGTGGGCACAATTATCCTGGCAAGCACCACATTGGATTTAAAGTATGAAACTAAGATTTGGTTAATCCAGATTCAAATCAAGCCAAATTGAGGGATTGGATAGAGGAAGAGAATACTGTATTACAATATAGTGGCAGAGCAAGTGGGATTTAAAGGAGGTTACTCAGTTTTCAAGCAGAGAATAGTTTCATGCCCTCTGACAGAGAAGTATTTCATATATTTGCAAGGGAAGCTATATGCCATGTTTGTAGACTTAAATCTGCTTTCAGTTCCATCCCAGAACAGTGATTCTGGGACAAACTTACAACATCCATGATAGAATATTGCTTTTCTTGATAAAGCACCTCTATAAAAATACCTTCTTTCAGGTGCATTGTAGCCCAAAAGGGGATTTATGTAAAGCAGACCAAGTGATCAGAGGTATACATCATTGATGTGTGTTGGCACCCAGTTCGACCTATATGTAAATGACATAGCCTCTAATTTATTCTCCCTGGAACATCACCACTGAAACTGGCAGGGAAGGAAATTCCCATATTATATATATAGATGATGCTGTACTGCTGTCGCAAACTAAAAATGTTTTGCTAAGAATGATGAAGCAGTTTTCCATTTATTCTGTTCAAGAGAGTTTACAGTAGTGATACATTATAATAAAACAAAGGTTCTAGTGTGCTTTAAAGGACATAAGAATTAAAATTGGTTCATAGATGTATAATCCATTGAACAAGTCGTTAGATTTAATTACATCGGTACATTACTTTCCAAACATCTCTTAGTTAGGTTGTACAGAGAACTCTTGCTATACAAGGTGTGAAGATTATATCTTCTGCTGTCACTTGGTTCTTTTCTAACAGAGGGGCAAGTTATGTACCTTCAGTATTTATGGTTTATAAAGTCAAGGTAATAACAGGATTATTATATGGTATTCAATTTTATTTTGGGGAATGAAATGACATGGAATAAGTCCAGACTAAATTTTAATGGGATGTACTAAGGCTACTTTGGTGTGTTAAGGGTGTTGAAATAAGATTGGAAGTTGGTAGCCCCTCCATAGCTTTTTTACCTTAGACTTATGCATTGACATTTGCACCCCTCATGTACAAGTTATTTGATGTTGACTTTAGGAAATACTTATACAGATGTTTGGCTTAAAAAGTTAAATCATAAATACCATGGGACTATCCTTAAAACAATTGAAGAGGTATGATTATACAGAGGCAAAATGGCAAGTTAAAGATGGTTATTGATATACAGGAAGTATTTTCTGAAGCAAATGCAGCTTCTTCACTGCTAAAGAGAGTTAAGAGGTGATTTTAGAGCAACACAGTATTTTGAGATTCTCACAATAGCTAGATAAAGAAAAGCTTTCACAGCACCCCTCTTTAACTTCATTCTTTCAATGGTCCCTGAAGGCTGATACAGAAAAAAATACCACTGAGATTACTGTATGCCCTTGTGAATCAGGATAGATTGAAAGAGTGGAGCACATCATGTTTGAATGTGATTATTATAGAGATATCAGATTTGTTTTTTCTGGCCTCCTTTCTTACTCCACTTATAGGAATGACTACACAATTCTGTTTTGCATTGCCCTTAGGGTCAAACAAACCAAAACAAAAAATTATTGAGCAAAAGCCAAATCTCTCTCTCTTGCAATCAAAAAAATAACTTTTTTTGGTTTTTGGTGCCTTCAAGTCAGTCTTGATTCCTGGTGACTGCATGGACAAGTCCCTCTATTTTCTTGGTAACATTTTTGGAAGTGGTTTGCCCTTGCCTCCTTCCAAGGGCTGAGAGAGAGTGACTGGTCCAAAGTCACCCAGCTGACTTTGTGCCTAAGGCAGGAAAGAACATAATTATTAGCAGCTAAATTTTGAGGGTTTTGATATTTGGAAAACAATTTCTGTTTATTAGATTTTAAAACTCCACTGTGCATTTTAAATCAACCTTAATTACTAATTAATAAACTTTTAAAGTTAAATTATTATAAGGTAGATTTGAGACTCGGGGAAGTGCTAGTGTTGAAATATTTAATAATATGTCTTTATAATAATGTTGTATTCTGTCATAGTTTTTCTTGGGCTACAATAAATAGAGAGATTAAAATCAATCATGAATTTCAGTGGGTAAGTTGAACCAGTCACTACTTCTTAGCTTGATATACTGCACAGGATTATTATGAGGGAAAATTAAGAATACCAAATAATCCACAAAGGCTATAGGGGCTGTAGTGACTGACAGGTCCCTTCTGGGGATGGGTGATCCTTCTATTTTCTCAAAGAAGTGAATCAGTCGTTAAAAAGGAGCAGATCAGAAAGAATAACTGGCAGCTGCAGATCAGGCTCATGCATTTCAGAGCTATCCCATTATATTTTCTGTCTGTGATGCCATTAAGATTGAGCTTCTCCATATTTTTATACAGAAGCTAGCCAGACTCGTTATTAAATCTTGGTTTAGCACTGGTGACAGAGCAATGCCCTTTGGTGCATCTGAGGGCAGTAGGGTAGCTTAGGGAGTAGGTAGGTTTTGCCTACTCCTCTCCTCTGAGTAGTTGCTACCTAACATAGCTACCAGTACCAGATTTCCATCTGTGCGGAAGGGATTCTATCTCTTGGTAGAGCTGGACCGAAATGGAACACATTCTGAGAACCCAGTGAATAAGAAGACCCACAAAACCAGTGTGTGTGTGTGTGTGTGTGTGTGTGTGTTTCAATTACTGAATTCGTTACCACAAGGCCAAACGTGCATTTCCAGAAGTTTCAGACACTTATCAGGTTGTCTGAAACAAAGTGTTCAAGAAAGGGATGGTGTGTGCACAGGGAGCTAAATAAAAAATTTATTCAGGAACTACTGAGTAAATTATTGTTAAAAAACATGCTCCCCTGGACTAAGGACCCGTTTCACTAACCATAACGAAACTATTTCACTAACAATAACCTCTCACAATATTAATGGTATACAACTATGGAATAAGCAGCAGGAGCAGCACAGTCATAGCATAAGACAGCCACCGTCAAACTCGCAACTTTATAAAAGAAAACCAAAACAAAAGTAATAGAGCAATCAGTCTCTCTAATGCAAGTAAATGCAAGGTTTTTCATTTTCTAATTTTCTAATGCAAGGTTTTATTTTCTAATGCAAGGTTTTATTTTCTAATGCAAGGTTTTACATTTCTGTTTGTAAAAGCTTTGAGGGATATAGAGAGGCAAAAGTCTTCTATAGGTTGGTTGCATGACTTTGGGACTACCATTGTAAACCTTGCTACATACATTATAATATGAGAGCATTGAATATGGTCCTAATGGAGAAAGGTTCTCTCTAAGGTATGTTAGACTAGGGTTCCTCAACCTTGGCCACTTGAAGATGTGTGGACTTCAACTCCCAGAATTCCCCAGCCAGCCATGGAACACAGGAACACTGTGTTAGACCAAAGCTGCTGAAGACTTTAAAGGTTAAAACCACTATCTTGATTTGAAAGTGAACCAGTGATGAGTTCTGTCACATTATAACTGATTGAATATCTCTTGACAAATAATGCTGGAAATTTGAAAATACTTGTTGAAAAATCTGACCAAACAACTTCCATGTGCCCCTATCCCCAGCATCTTTATTGAACAAGATGCCATTGGCATGTTTGTGCATTTGTATTTCTTTGGTCCCAAGAATATGTAAAGTAGTTTTAAAATATGGAAGCATGTTTTCAATGATTGCATACAAGCTGCCTAAAGAAGCCAGTAGGCGCTTTGGATTTGATCTCTAAAAGGTGCTATGGAGTATGCAGGTACCTCCTGTCTGCAACAGCATAAAGCTGTTTTTTCCCAGGATACCATGGCATCTGCAGAGGATAGCTGTGTCACAGAGATGTAGTTTTCCAGAAAAAAGATGAAATGAATGTAATTCCAGTTAGCATCTTCATTTCAATTGCCATAGTCTACAAGTATTAGCGAATAGGAGGGAGGGAGACCCATAGAACTCTGCTTTTCAATTGTTTAGAACAATCTCCTGAAAAGCAAACATAATACAACTTTAGAACTGCTGGACTCGCCTGAAGTGGAGAATTTTGATCCTGGAAAAATTTCCAGGCCACATTCCCAAGGAAAAATGCAGTTGCTTTGAGATATTTCAGGCCAGTGCTATGTTTGTGCTTCCGTGTCCTCCAAAGCATTTTTTGGAATCTGAATCTAAAGTGCTGAACAGTCCTGCTACGAACCTAATAATGCTGGCTTGAGGCTTAAGAATGAAATATAAAGATGCTGTTAAGTTAAACTTGATTCTTGGCGACTACGTGGACACAACCATGGAATTTCCTTTGCAACAGTTTGGAAAGAGTTTGCCATTGCCGCCTTCTTGTATCCTCTGGAGATTTTCCATCCAAATAACCAGGCCTGATACTGTTTATTTTCTGAGCTACTGTATATGGAAGACCCACATCCAAATTGCTAATCTGCTGAGAATCTTACTAAGTGGCAAATTATTCTAGGCCAAGCTATCTGTGACATGAGATTAAGATGAGTTGCACCTTTTCTGAAGCTTTTGGGATTGGATCTGCCAGATATCTAAACAAACTATAGAGCAAGCCAGCCATTAAAAGATACAAAAGCATTACTCGTTCAGAAACAGCAAACTCAAAAGCACAGTAGGATGCTCAGCCTGCATCTTGCTTAATGTTATTCCTGACAGTCAGACCAACCAGTCTGGTGCATTTTATGGCTGTGATTCAGAGGCATTTTTTGCTGGGTGAATTTTTAATGCTGTCCTTGTGATTGGATAACCTTTAAGAAACCTGAGACTTAAACCAGGCAAGCAAAGCATTGCAGAATGCTGTGATCCTCACTTTTGTCTTTTGGGGATGCTATAAAACACAGGCGCCTCTAAACCTATCTTTAACATCATTTCTTTACCGATCTTAAATGGTTTTCTTCCTAGAGAAAATTACCTCTAAAGGATGAATGGAGTGGGGGAGCTGCATAACTTTTGTTATTCTATTTCAACAAATATCTCCATGCAAGGTGACACAACTCTACTTTGCCATTCTCTATAGAAACCTCAACCTATTTTCCCCTACTCTCTCAGTCTAGACATGCTGTACTATGAGAGAGAGAGAAAGACCTGATTGCCTTCCCCATGAAAATGCTGCATTGAAAATGTAAATACTGTACCTCACAGAGGCTGCGAGAGGAACTGAGTGCACACTGGATTGTCTCCTTATTCGAGTAGGTGCCTGTCTGTATATGGTCATTACCTGGGTCCCTGCCGAGAGGACGGTCTCTATCTGACTTCGGCTGAGGAGCGTTTCATAGTTTGCCCTGATCTCATTGAGGAGCTGGGACAGTTCCATGCTGCTCCCATCCTCCACCTTGGCTAACTGAACCTTATTGATAGGGTGAGAAGATTGCTGCAGCACATTCCCAGCCTGCAATAGGAATGAGAGGGAGAGAGACGGAGGAGGGTGAGCAGAAAGGGAAACTCAGATTTTTTAAAGCAGCAGCGTCCCATTCTTTGAGAGTTATTTATCATGGCTCTTTTCAAACTTGGCCTTACAGCTGGCTAAAGAAGTTGACTTGTGTACAAGCTAAAGATTGGAACAAATACCTACTATTTTTTTAAGGAACATTAAGTGAGAGACATTTCAGTGTGATTTTTTTTTCAATGTAGGACTTAATTGTTGCATTGAAACCATGCCCTGTTTCGTGGTTTCAATGTTCATATGTTTCTTTTGGCAGAACAGATATTTGCTATTATATCTTACTGGGTATATCAGAGATGGACATCATAGATTTCAGTCCTAAGTACCATTTGCAAAGGGTTGGGGGAATACCAATAAAACATGAGTTGCTTATTCATGGCATATACATGGCCCCCTCTGCAAGCTATTTTCTAACATGAGGGTAAATATTCTTGATGTACTTCTTAACTTTTTCACCGGTTATTCAGTCAGTCTGTGTTGCAAATGATCTAATCCACTCACCAAGAAGATAATGTAATTCAAATGGAAAATAAACCCAGCTTTTGGCTCTTTGCATAATAGCGGGAAATTGGCTTATAGTATTGGTTCTTCCCTCAAGAAAAAAAAAAAACACCAATAACTTTGTTTAGTAAAGAGTCTTTTTAAGCACATTCAGAAAAAAATAGGAGGAGCCTAGAAAGATTTTTTAGGTTCAAAGGAGGGATCAAAAAGCAAACTATATGAGTCCAGCAGCATGCTGATCAATCAAAAGAATGGCTGTTCATGAAAGGTGCATTATTGAAAACTTGATAAAATAAAGGAGGATAAGATGTGAACACTTATGCCCTTTTAAGTGCATTTTTAAAGTAAACAGTAGGCTCAAAAGGAAGTTTCTTTTGTTTCAATATTTTAAAACATAGTTTCAAAGAGGGAGGAAGAAAAGTAAGAACCTTTATCAGCTGTTTCATTATTTATTATTTTGTACCATACATTAGGAATACACTGAGTAGCACCTGCTAAGAACTGAGTAACATTAAATGTGATGCCTCCATATTTCTTTTGTGCCATTATTTTAGCATGTAAGCCTAAGGGCAGGGATTGTTTTTCATTTTTCTTTTTGAAAATTAATCTATAAACTACCTTTTGGCTTAAGTGCAAGATAAAAAGAAATGATAAGCAAGTTATATGAATCATATAAATTATAATATTTGTTTATACGGGATTACAATTTTGTGAATCATTGTATAATCATCTGGGCTTTCATACAGCTAAATGGCATTAACATTTCTTTGATTTAAAAGGTACTAAAGAATAATGTATACAAGTTTAGACATTCTACAAACTTCCAACATCCAAATGTAATATTATAGCTCTCCAGTTTCTGAAAGAGTAGCTGTATTAGTCTGTTGCAGCAAAAACAACAGTCTTATGACACTTCCAAAACTAACGAAGTTATTCTGACAACCTTAAAAACTAACAAAATTATTCTAATAGCCTCCCCTACTTAACTTCCCTAACTTCCTGATTCCTTTCTACAAAACTTAATTATTTTAAGCATAAGACATAAAATAATTTGCTAATAAGGAGATTTTAAATAAATGGTACTTCTGGGTTTGCACTTTGGTACTTTGTTTTTTAAT